AGGAATTCTCCATCCTGAAGCCCTTAGTCCTCCAGGCACAGTGATGGGCTATCCCAGGAGTCCCAGACAAGGATACTGGTGGGATTTCACAAGAACATCGGACCTCGAAGGGCAAGACTTCACCAGTGTCCATAACACGAGTCACGACAGCCAGAAAGTAAAACAAATGCCGCATACGCCTCCGGTGTCTTTTTTAACAAATGTTTATTTATATCAAAATACAAAACATTTCTGAAGCAGAGTAATGTTACATGAGGAGCAATTAAATGTTGTTAAACTTTAATCAGTTCCAAAATCCATCATTCTCCTACAGAATGGCTAGTTTTACGTAACATTGCAACACTGCCATAATTTCTTAACTGGGTACATTTTTTTTTAAACTGTTTTTTGAAAAATTTTCATCTATGAACATGCAATGTTACTGGCAATGAGTTGTTTAGTACTCAGCAGCCCATAAAATACCAGCAGGCAAAGGTCTAGGGACAAAACACTCCCAATTAAGGCAGGGTTTCAAATTAAATTTTCCTCCAATTTATGTTCGTGTATGGTTTTCAACTGGCAACAGCCCAAGTGCCTAAGGGGCCAACATCCTTGGCAGACAGAGCGGGTTTATTGCTTAGAGCCACCAAACCAGACGTGGCTAGGAGTTGCCTCCAGTGAACGCCCATCGGGTTCGCTCTATGTTTTGGATAGAGGCGGAGGGGCCGAGACACGGCTGGACAGAGCGAGTCGGGCAAGGTCTGGCTTTGCACTGGCCAAGCAATTTGGCTCAGTTGGAAGATTTTCAGCCAGTCCTTGAAGGGCGGATCGGACAAATCTCAGCTGGGTGTTTTCCCATGACAGCTAACACTCTTCAGGAGACACCGCCAGCTCCCTGGCTGCTCTCTGCCCAGTTGGCTTCCCGGGAGGGGAGGAGAGCAAGGAGTTGTTCACGTTCCCTGGGAGGTTACAGTCACTTGCCAAGAACAAATTAGCACCCGACTGGTGGGGCGAGGGTGCCCCCATTCGCTCTTCTTGCTACAAAATTAGGGACTGTAGACAAATGTGGGCCGTGCCTCCTCCCCAGCCCCAAATGCCCTCCACGTAACAGGGAGCCCAGAGCAGGGCGAGGCCTTCCCCGGGGCTCCCCCGTGACCGAGTACGAATTCCAGTCTTTACTGCCCCTGCTGGTATTTTACAGGTCTTCACAAAAACAGAGGCTGAGAGCAACAATACAGATATAGAGAGATTATATAGAGCGCAGAGTAAGTTTCTTATAAGGCTTTGGTACAGCACCATCATGTCTCAGATTTATTTCTAAATCGTTTACAGAAAAAAAAAAAAAAAAGCTTACTGAAAAAATAGTGTTTTGTTTTTCTTTTCTTTTTTTTAATTTTTTTTATTTTCTTCTTTTGAGTAGCATACCTGAAGTTCAAAAAATTAACCCTCTAGTTGCCATTCAGGCTCACACGAATGATTTTTGCTGTGTGCATCTGTGCAATTTAAAAACACAACAAGTCAAAACCAACCTACCGGTAAAGTGTTACACAGCCAACTCCCCTTTGCCGTAGCCACCACGCTGCTGTGCCCCGGAGCGGCTGAGAGTTTGAATTGCACGAGTCAGTAATCAATACCACAGAAATTCAGTAGTTGATCACTACGAAACTTCATTATATATATATAGAAAAAAACCAAACAAACCCCAAACCCAAAAAGAAAGAAACCCTAAGAACAAAAAATCACGACGACAAACATTGAGGAACCAGTGGAACTAATGTTTCCTTTATTGTTATTGTTAAAAAAGTCAGTTCCACCGGCTACTGTTGAAACAGCACCAAAGAGCACCCTAACGTGTGTTATACATTGTAATACTCAACATTCAAGAAACAGAAACGAGGTTGAATGTTCTTTGAGGGTCGAAGGGGTTCTTTAAATCGATAGACAAGAGGCTCTTTAAAAAAAGGAAAACCTATCCGACACAAAAAGAGGATCAGCTGGAGTTCTAGGGAAGATCCCACTTCATGGGAAAAGTCCTATAGGTTTAACAAGAAACCAAACCAATATGGATTGATGGAAAAGTCATAGGGTTTCATAGATTCTACAAACCTAGCAAACTATGTTCGCAAGAAAATGAGACGCTTTTTAATCGGCGTTTGGAAATCGGCTTACAAAATTCTATAAGCAGGGCTAAATTCTCTATGAAACCCCAGATGATGGCCCAAGGACCCTATAGAAAAATGGTGATCATGGGCTCTTACACTTCTACAGGCTTTTCCCACGAGGGAAATGCAGAGAGCCCCCACAGTTGTACAGAAGGTCCCAAGTTATCTTTATTTCAAATGCTGGGACCAAGAGTGCTAATCACTTTGTTTTTGCCCCGAAACATGATTGTTCTACAAGAAGCGTATAGTCACAGACCACAGGGGAGCGGGGTGGGGGTGTCTGTATATGAACTAAAGGCAAAACAATGCCCAAGATGAGTCCATCCCGCGTCACCTTGCTGCCAGTGCACCTCATGCCACCTACCAGCCTCGGTGAAGCACTGGGAAGCATCAGAGGTTGACCTGTTTCATGAAGCGACCTGAAAAAACAAGGTTGACCTTCAAGCGCACCTGGGATGGGGAGGGCACAGAAAGGATGGAGGTCTCAATACACAGCCCCGTGGTACAGCAAAATGAAAGGAGGGCTCAAGACAATCTGCCCCTCTCCTCTCTGATTTTACACAGGCTAATATTTAGGGTGACGGGGCACACTAGAGGCTTGAAGCATGGCCGGAAGGCCTTTGTAACAAGAGCACTTTGCTCTCTTGTCAGTGGAATCCATCAAGATATCCCTTAATTACCAGAATATCCATTCAAAGCAAATCCCCTTAATGTTTCATCCTGGAAGAACTG